TACCATCACATATCACTAAAACTATATAATTCTTCGAATGAGAGGTCTCATACTACAACGGTTGGACTCAAACAAGAGCTGCGCAATAGAGTCAAAACCTAACCTCCTAAAATTATTTAGTTCCCATGATATGTAACTTAGCATATTCGTTTACTAGTTAGCTGAAACTAGTTAGAATTCCTAAAAGCACAAAGCAAGCAACATTCGAGCATCAAGTATCAGAACCAAGCATAACCTAATCATGCCATCCTATCACTGACTGATCAGTACTAGCATGCAAGTCTACAAGATCATACAACAGGCATACAAAGGTATCTCTCCTAGCCTTCTATCATGCAAAACTGAGCAGATCCTTAGCCCTAACTTGCATGCGATTCACATATTCAAGCATATCAAATAACATGTATGGGTAATTTGGGAAAACTTACTTGAGCTCGGTCAATTGCATGCACCACACCCTTTATCTCTTTTTAGAAATCCTTTTTTTATAAAACGTTTTTCTTTTGAATATTCTACCAAGTCCTTAGTTTGAGTTCAGACACACTCGAGAGTGTGCTCGAATCCCTCAAACCAAGGCTCTGATACCAACTTGTAACATCCTAAAATATGGTCCCAAAAATTTCATTTTTAAAATAAATAAAATAGCATTTCCAAATATCATCCATACATCTCAAAATAACCAATGTATCACATGTCATAAAAATCAAAGTAAAATGTCATGTTCGGAATACCAATGGTGTGTGCAATGCAGTTAACCCGAGCTTTTCCCTTTGCAACCGGAAGTACCTGAAACATAAACTGAAAGTAGTAAGCACAAAGCTTAGTGAGTTCCCCAAACTACCCTATACCATACATAATAAATCACATACTGGGCTGTCGCCCGACATCGAGCCCCACTCGGTTTACAAATCTATTATTCTCAGGTCGCGCCTGTCGCTAGGCCTCGCCCGCTATACACGTAGAATCAATATCACATAATCATATAAACACATATAATGATCATAACACTAGCATATATTCCAGTCCTCATGCCTCGCACGGCATCGAGCCCCGCCCGGTGTACATATCAGCACAAGACACATGCAAGGGTCACGCAGACTCCTAGAATCCTAACATAAACAAGAAGGGACAACATTGGTGCCTTCGACCCGCTAAACAAAGTGAGAAAACTCACCTCCAATGTTGAATCTCACAAAAAGAAATCCCCAACTGCTGCCCTGACGACTCCTCGAGCTATCAGTACAAAATAACACCCAATCAATACTTGGGTTTCAATCAATGTCCAATACTCCATACTTGGGGTAAAATGACCATTTTACCCATGGCCAAAATTGATCCATGACTAAGGCCCAAATCCACAATATGAAATGCCCAAAACTAATTAGTCTTCCAAAGCCCACTAGTGGCCCACTTATGGCCCAATTTTCCAAATTGGGCCTAAACCCCTGTAACGGGCCTTACCCTAAAACCCAATAATATCCTTAGCCCAAAAGCCTGTTTTCAGATGGCCCACTAAGACCCAACACAACAAGGTCCAAGAAATGGCCGAAATCGAGGCCCAAATATGCGAAGTCCACTCTGACTGAGTACGCAGGGCGTACTCAGCTGTACGCAGCGTGTACTCGCTTGTTGGCTTGTACGCTACACGTACAGACTTGTACACTTAACGTACTCCTCTATTAAGCCACTTTTTGCTATTAAGCACTTAATGCTTATACCAAAAGTCCAAACCATAGATCTGAGTCCCAATCAATGTCTATACCCATAAAGTCACTGACTTGGTGACTTTGCATGCCTCCAATGAACCCAAAATCAAAATATAACATTCTACTTCCATGTAAATGGCCATAACTCATGCATGGATGGATTTCAACATCAAAAATGACAACTTTATGACTCAATAACCCAAATAACACCAAGAGTGGAAACTCTAAGCTTCAAAAACGATGTGGACTCATAAGATCTCATCAATGGGACCAATATGGTCCATAAACCCAAACCAAAAGAGATCTAAGCTAATACGCATCAAGTTCAAGACTTTATACCTCAAATGATTGCCCAAAGATGATGAGGTTCTGGATCTATAAGCCTTCACTCCTTCAATGAAGCTTCAAGGATGGACACCTTCCTTCAAAGCACCAAAATACTCTTCCAAATGGCCTTCTAAGCTCCAAAATCACACAAGATGGGATTAGGGTTCGAATATAGGGTAAAGGGGACAAGGAGGCTAGTGAAATGAGGGTTTCAAGTCCATAAGGATGCTTATATAGTGGCCAACCCCTAAAATTAGGGTTTTCATTAATCATTACGTACGCCCCGTGTACGAAGCTATATGCACCGCGTACGCATCTGGGACCCCAATCACACCCTCGCATGAGTACGCTAAGTGTACTCGCTTCATCAATTGTACGCCTAGCGTACGTTGTTGTACGCCCTGCATACAACTCAAGGGTAAAAATGGGATAGTTTAAATATGCAAGGTCGAAAAAGGAACTTATCGAGATTCAAGCGTTACCGAATTCATGGGTTGCATTAAAATAGGGAGGATTATTGGTGATTTTAGTATCACCGAGTATTTAGGGTAATTTGAATAATCATGAGTGCTAATAGGAATTAAAGTATGATCTAATAAAAGTTACATGGTGCACAATCCAAACTTTAATATAAGCAAGTTTGATCTGGACACAACCAAATATGGCGGTCAAGAGGACCACATCCCTTGAGGTGTCAAGCGGAAGCACCCATTGTGGGGTCCAATGTGCAATATTGGTGTTAGAATGAAGTGGAAAAACATGTTCAAACGTGGAAAGTTCACCAAAAAAGGTGGAACTTTCACTAAGGCAAAGAACTATAGATATATTACTACGAAGTTGTGATGCTCGGGCTGTAGGACATGTGGTGCCCAAATTGCTGATATATGGTATCTGAAGTTGTGGTGCTTGAACCTATAGACTCGTGGACCTGCTAACTGCTGACTCTACAAAAATTTAGGAAAAGAGATTACAACTTTTTGATAACCGATGATAACTTTCAAAAATCGTTTTTCCATTCTTATTGATTTAATTGAAATATATATTATACTCCAGATTTTTGGACTCTCGGGATATTGAATGAACCATATGCTCTCTGGAACGTTGCTTTATGTTTTATGCAGTGTTGTAAAAATCTCGACTAGGTTACAGTTAATCCTCGATTAGTCCTTAGACACTACCCGAACAACTAAAAGACACCTAACGATTAATCTTTGACTACACAATGAGCGAAGTAGTACAAACGATGAAATTTTAACATTTTGGATAAGGTGTATCTCAATATAAACTATTTGATAAATGATTAGTATTATATTAATCATATTAACCTATTTTTTTATGATATTTAGTTGTATTTATGAACTTTTTTATGATATTACTTATATTTAATTTTTTTAAAATTCTTCGAATTAGCAATTTAGGGTCCCCGATTAAATATCGCCTAGCCGATTAATCCATTAACCCCGGTTCACCGACAAGCTAACGTCGAATGTTTTTTATAACCTTGGTTTTATGTCAAAAATAAAAACAAAAAGTATTCGCAGTGATTATAGTAGAATGAATTTCCTATTAACTAAAACATTAGGGAATAAATATCACTTCGAAAAGCAAATTTACACGGTGGTAAGTTTCCATATTCATTGATTACCAAACGTTTATCCGATAATCCCTATTTTCTATCAAATGTTTCCTATGCTCTTTTCAAACTTTTATTTCCACATGTGGACCATTTATTCAACATTTCATAAAACATCTCTACCAAATCTTTTTGTAAGTTTATAGAAACATTTTTGGAAATTTGATATAAACAATGTTTATTATTTTAAAATGGATTTTGGGGCATCACTGCTCCGAATATGGGAAATTGCTCAAAGCAACTACATCAATAAATTCATAATTTTCTCTGTCTTCCAACTCCACTCCGTCTTGGTGCCACGTATCTCAGACTCCGTCTTCATCATCAAATTCTTCATCAGAATCCGGCAACCCCCCTGTGACTTTCTTGAATGGAACCCATTCATCATCTACTTCGTATATACCTAATCTGAGCAGACTTCTGTCAATTTTCACCGTTACCTCCTCATTAAGCTTTTTTCCTTGACGCAGTGAGAATACATATTTTCCCATGAGATAAATCATGGCTTTTCCAGTAAATGACTAATTTTGACAAGCACCTTTCCAAAAAGACCAGGGACATAACTAATGTTTAATTCATCCATGCATGCAAAGGCAACCCAGTAATTTTTAACCATGCAATCCTCTCATAATGGATAGTATTTTTTTTCCAACCCGTTCCATCCAAATGAACCATTTGATCGAAATGCATCTGTTTGACTTAAACATATTGGCCGCCCTATCAGATTTGAACTTCACAATAACTTGCATACCTCCCAAGTATTTGGTTTTAATAACATCGTACCCTTCCAATTCATGCAATGACAGAAAATTGCAAAGTAAATCAAAGTTTCGTACCTCCCCTACTAACGCCGATTTGCATGCCCAGTCATGCAACTCCTTGATACACGATAGCTCCAATGGGCGAGCAAAGTCTTGAGTTGACACTCCTTTCGCTACATCAATAAAATACCTTGAATCTCTAACCTCTCCACTTGCATGATGCCATAGGTCGGAGGATTCTGATAAGCCCCAACTTTACTGGTTTATAGCATAGGGGTATTTCTGTCTTTTATCTATTTATTTTCCTATTAGTGAGTCTAAAGCCAATCATGGGTGGAAAACAATGTTAGTGGGGACAGCCCTGATTATGTTGGCTGTTATTCTCTTTTGTCCTTTTCTTTAGTAGTAGTATATATATATATATATTAGTTAGTAGTAGGAGTGAGGTAGCTAAGAATTGATTTGTAAAGAACTTTGTTCTTCTTTTGGAGAGTCCATTCTTCTCGAATGAATGGGAATTCTATCTTAATTTTATGGTATTATTGAGTGTTTTGTTGCTATGAATCTGTTAGAATGCCTGGGGTTTACGATAGATTCAACAAGGATCTATCAAATGGTATCAGAGCAGTTGATGCTGGGGAAACAATGATAGCAAATGAACAACAACAACAATCTCTGTGGATTCAACAACAAGCAAAGGACCATGAGGAGCTGAGGATAATCCAAACAGATCTGCTAGAGATTGTGAAGCTAATGGAGATGCATCGTCAGAATCAGATAAAGAGAGAAGAAGAGACAGAAGCTAAAATAGCACAAATGAAAAAATATTACTACTCAGAGGAAGGGATGGAGGCTGAGAAGGCTAAATGGAGACAAATTTATTACTCAACCTTGAAGGAGAAGGAGAAAGTAGTCCATGAAGAGGAGGAAGAGGAATCATTGGAAGTTGCTGAGTTGGAATCGGATGATGAAGAGAAATCATTGGAAGTTACTGAGTTGGAATCGGAACCTGTGATGGAACCTCAGCTTCCACCATCACTGCTGTCGGATCCACAACTTTCTCCACCACTTTCACCAACGCTGTTTACACCAGCTCTAGGGTTCGAGAAGAGAAACGAGACTACAAATCTGTCCATGGCAAGCACTAATCAGAGTCTTAGGAAGCTGGAGATGCCTTTGTTCGATCACCACAGACCTCGAGGGCCGCCGCCGCCCCGCCCTCCACCACCGTCGCTGTCGTTTTCCCCACGACTGCTGCTACCACCGCCGTCACCACCGCCATGACTGGAATTGGAAAAAAAGAATGGGGAGAAGATGGAGTCATCAGATTGGAGCTTTGGGAAGCAAGAGTCGCTTCATTCCACCATTTCAAAAGAAACTGGTCATGACAGCGGCGACACACTACCTCCAACACCACAACCGTCGTTTCCACCATCTCTAGGGTCCAAGAACAGCAGCAGGGCAGCGATTTTGAATACAAGAGGCGTAAATCGGTATGATAGAAGGATGAAAATGCACTTGTTCGATAGCTCCAAACCGCCGCCACCGACGCCACCACCACCACCGTCGGGAATTAAATCAAAGGGGAAAGGAACGGTGAATTCAATGCCTGACCAGGTGGGAAAGAACCAGATGCTGTGGTGCGAGCTTTCTCAAGACGGGATGCGATCAGAATACCCACATCGTTACTGGAAGGTAACGGCTCCGTTAATATTAGGTTATCAGCTTAAAAAATATATTTGGGCCAAAACTAAAATGATGGGCTTACTTAATCGTAATCTGGAGCAAGTAAATGATTTGGCAACGGAAATTAAAAAGAAACCAAGCCCAACTCCAATTAAGCTGTATAACCGTAAAACAGCCCAATTTTCAACTCCAGCGAGTTTTCACGTAATATCAACCAATGCAACGAACCATGGGGAATCGGAAAAGATGGAGCATAAACCAATTAACGAGATGACCACAAAAACCCCACAGTGCCTGGGGTCAGCTTCTTTCAAGCTCCCAAACATGCTTCCACCTGTGTGGCTATCAATGGCAGCAGCCCAAGCCACGAACTCACCTCATTGCTTAGTTTCTGATGCTGGATAGAGAACATCGGTGGTTGTTTCACTGAAAGCTAATTATGATTCAAAAAATTCTCAAACATGTCGTGATCCTGGCGATAGTCAAAATGCCATCTGGAAAACATTGGGAGTAGGAGTTGAGATACGAACTTACCAAAAGTTTGTTTCCCTAGAAGAAGACTACAAGCTTGTAGATATCGATGTTAGCAATTACCTCACCTGATCAAATATTTATGTTCTTACAAGGTTCAATTCTACATCAGCCAATCACCACATGACACGTACTTATGAAAACATGGATGGTTACAAGAATGAGGGGTTAGTTGAAATCCTTGCTGGTTTATCTTATTGTTTATTTTCCTGGTTAGTTGAAATCTTTGTTGGTCAACAAAGCCTAGAAAACCCAAACTGGTTCCAGGGCACTGCTGTTGATGCTATAAGGTGGTGTTTATGGCTATTAGAAGAACATAATGTTCTGGAATGCCTGATACTTGTCGAGGATCAGTTGCCCTTGATGGATTGTTGGAAATTCATTCAAACTCATAGAGATACTGATGCTGACATCATGGCAACAGTTCTATCAATGGATGAAAAAGATGCAACTGCATTTAGTATAATGATAATTGATGATGAGGGGCGAATAATCGAATTGGCAAAACACTTAAAAGGAGAGCAAGTAAAATCTATGGAACTTGATACCCCCCTTTTAGGGATTGAGAAAGAGAGAGATAAAGAAATGTTTGTGATTGCTAGAAAGGAAAAATATGTTGTTAGCAAATATTTGATGTTGAAGTGGCTGCGAGATAAGTTTCCAGGAGCAAATGAAATTGACAGTGAAGTTATTCTTGATGAGCTTTGTCAGCTGTTACTGCTGCTTATCCTTGAAGTTTTTGATTGTTCAAGTGACGGCTTTACTGATGGTGAACTAGCAACTTTACATAGCAAGGGTCGCTTGTATGACATTCCGGATCGTTATGAGAATGATTGGGAAGTTGTGAAAAGAGGATGGAATCCACAGGTCCTTAGTGAAATCCCCCATAAGTTTGAGAATGTTGTTAGGGAGGTGGAGACACCAAGGGAGGTTCCTATTTCTAACGACCGGTACTTATCCTCATTAGTGATTGTTAATGAGAATAGGAAGGTTGTTGAAGCTGTTAAGACAATCCTGGATGCAGTGGAGCAAGGAGATGTAGAGAATGCTGATCATGGCAATGCCAAGGACAAGATACAATGGTCTCTTGGAAGAATTTGGGTGCGGGTGCTACACATCATTTTCACTCACCTTGAGGACAAGGTGAAACTTTGGGCGGCCGGTATTGATAAGCCCCAACTTTACTGGTTTATAGCATAGGGGTATTTCTGTCTTTTATCTATTTATTTTCCTATTAGTGAGTCTAGAGCCAATCATGGGTGGAAACAATGTTAGTGGGGACAACCCTGATTATGTTGGCTGTTATTCTCTTTTGTCCTTTTCTTTAGTAGTAGTATATGTTGGATTAGTGTCTAAGTCCATAACTATTTTGGTATGTACTTGACCCGATTATGAGCATGGT